CAATTGCTTGGCATATCCTAAGCATTCAGATCGTTCTCATTACTGTCCACGTCCCCTGAATTACTGGACCCTCAGTCCTGCTTTGTTCTTTGTCCCTTCCTGCTTGATGCCGTCCATGGTAACCAGCATTGTGGTTGCCAGACATTTTTCTCCCTCTGCCTCTTGGTAGAGCAAGCCTCAAGACTGCTTCCTCGTGCCAAGAGGGTGCAGGGGCAGCCACACCAGGCTTCTGTTCAGAAACGTCACCTGTGTAGCCAGACATTTGTCTCTGTGTCCTTCTACTTGTTTTGGGGGAGACAGAAGCAGACATATACTCACCCCGGATAGGGAACTGAAGACAGACTCAAGTATGGATACCACAAAAGTATAAGTTGCTGAACCAATGAGCTTTATTGGGGTTACTTACAGGAGTGTGGGTGAGCGGTTACTCACAGTAGCAGAAATGACTCGAAGATGGCTGCATCACCAAAAGCCACCCCAGCATGAGTGACAGCTCAGAAAAGCTGGGACCCTGGAGCATACTGCACAGCCTACAGGCAGCTCAGCTGGTTGAAGAGTGTGTCTTCCCAGTGGCTCTGTTGGCCTGAGCCTCTTCCAGGGAACTTGGCTTGTCTATGAGTATCTTCCAGCAGCCCTTGCTGATTATATAAGCTTGGGGAGAGAGAAACGTGTTAAGTCTGATCAGTTTTAGGGACTTCCTGGAGCCATGGAGGTTTTGCTTCCCGTCATTAAGAGCTTGCCTCCAAAAATGGACTGTTTTCACAACACCCTGCAGCCAGCCTCTCAGCTGCTGTCCTCTGGCTTACCCAGGCCTTGCTCCTGAGAGTCAAGGAGTAAACCTTCTCCTCCAGTCTCTCTCTAAGTCCTTTCAGCTTACCCAAACTAATTAGCCCCTAGTACATGATGTTTGCATGGGAGACAGGAGATAATATTAACAACAAAAATTTATGCATAATGCCTACTATAAACAGGTATCATTCCAGTGTTTTCTCTCTCTCTCTCTCTCTCTCTCTCTCTCTCTCTCTCTCTCTCTCTCTGTATGTGTATGTGTTCATTAATCCTCATAACAAACCTACAAGGTTGACATTATCAATCCCCACTCTGTAGATGGGAAAGAAAGGCACAGAGCAGGACTGAGTTGCTCTGGACAGTGCAACCAGCGAAACCACAAGCAGCATAACCAGGCCTCAAGCCTCATGGGATATCGCATTAGATAATGCATCCAGTGCCCGATGCCTGGGGAAGACCCCTGACATCCAGGATGATGGCAGTGGTGATAGTGTTGTACACTAAAGCCCAGGGAAGAGCTTGCTCATCCCCGTCCACAGACTCTGCACCCTCGGGGGAAGAGAAACAGTGAAGTGCCCTATAGTCTGCAGAAGTAGTCCACCTCCTCTGGGTTATGGGGCAGGGGTTTTCCTTTCTCTTGAGATAAAAATTCACATAACATCTAAGCAACCATTTTAAAATATGTACTTAGGAAGATTTTAGTCCATTCACAATGCTGTACAGCCGTCATCTGTGTGTCTCTATCTCACCCCAAAAGAAATCCCCTGTGAGCAGTTGTCTACTCGCTCACACCTACTACAAGCGTCTGGTATCCACTAATGTGCTTTGTGTCTACAGACTCCCCTCTACAGTGTATTCTGCATGTGGGTATGTGCACATGAGTATGAATGTCAGAGAAGGCCAGCTGATCTCCTGAAGCTGGAGTTAGGGTGATGAACTGCCTGTGTGTGCTCTAGGAACCAAATTCGGGTCCTCCGGTAGAGCAGCAAGTGCTCTTAGCCACAGAGCCGACTCTCTGGCCCTGGATAAGGGTTGTTATTAACGGAGCAACTCCAAGGTCATTGCTGGGTCAGGTCACAGAGGCAGTGCTGCTGCCATGGAGGCAGAGTGCCGAGCAACCTCGCCCTGCTGTGGTCATGAGCAATCGGGAGAAGAAACCTGTCGAGGCAGAATTCCCTGCAGAATCAGAAACCTGAAACTCAGCCACCTTCATCACCAAGTGAGAAGGGCTGTGAGTTAGATACTGGGAGGATTATGGCAACCCACAGAGTCTAAAAACATTCCGATTCGAAAATGTTGACACAGTGCTGACCCAGAACTTCGGACTCGCTGGGCATTTGGCAAGACAACCACACCAGATCCAGCTCTGACATTTTCAAAGGGGCGCTGGCAGAATGAATGTCAAGGTCCAGCAGAGAGGAGGGTGGGATCCTAGCATCCTGTCAGCCCCAGATGTTGCAGGTCTGGGGCGTGGCTTACCTAGTCCTGCTGGTTCTGCTGAGCATCGAAGCAGGCCTGATATTTGCTGGATTTGGGTTTCTATCTCAAGTCAGCTGATTGTCCTAGAACCTTCACAATAGGTTTCAACCACAGAACCTGGGACTGTGGGTGACAGTCTCTGAGAGTAAGAAAGAGTGACTTGTTGCGTCAGGAGTCTAAACAAAACATGTCCCATTCTTGTAAGATGTTAGAGTTCTGTCTTGGACCACTAGTTTCCTTGTCCCATAGCATTCTTAAAAATTAACTTGGAGTGCTGTGTTGTATTTAACCATCTGGCTCTCATCTTTAGAGCCGTCAAGTCACCTGGAGAGCTGTCGGGTCTGTTTCTCAGCCCCACCTCCAAGAAATTGGTATCAGAGGCTCAGCATGGGGACCTAAGAATCTACACCAGGTTATGAGAATAGTTCTCCACACAGGTCATCCCTTCAACAACCACTACCTAGTGAATGCTCTTCTACTCAGTCTAGAATTGTAGCTGTCAAAATCAGAGGCTGGCTTCCTCTGTTTTCCCAAATCTCTAGCTTAGAGAATCCAGCTGGCCTAACATCAAATATCTTGCTTCTTTTTGAAAGCTTTATTATTATTGTTGTTGTGTTCGTTTATCTGTGTGTGTGTGTGTGTGTGTGTGTGTGTGTGTGTGTGTGTGTGTGTGTGAACTATCCACAATGCACATGTAGTCAGAGGACAAGTTGTCGGAGCTGGTTCTCTCTTACCACATAAGTCCTGAGGATCAGACTCAGGTCAACGGGTTTGGTGGCAATTATCTTTACAGGCTGAATCATCTCATCAGCCCATGCTTCTCTAGTCATTTACTCAGCAAGTATTTGTTGAGACTCTTTGGTCCTTGTAGACACATAGATAGGAATCTCTCTTCATAGAATTTGCATTCTCATAGGGAACATTGGACAGGTCAAATGCTTATTTTATGAATATAGAAAAAAAACTATTAATGTAGAAACAAGATCTTCGAGGAGTGAGATGGCTGTTTGAAAATCTGTCAGTGTGATTGACAATATGATGAGTCCCTTACTCAATATTGATGCTGAGCACATTCCTATCTGGTGTATATTTGAAAATTTGTGGAGGACGGGAGCTCATTAGCAAATGAGCAAGAACATTCAATTCATGAAAGTTGGTTTTCCTTCCCTGGAATGTTCGCCCTAAGTTCTTATTGCAAATCTAATGAAAGCCTCCTCGCTCAGAGACCACTGAAATGCACACAGACATGGTTCAGCCTCCCGTTCCACCTTCTCTCCCAGGGTGAAGATGCTGTCTTAGGGACTAATTTCTATTGCCTTCCCTTCTCTGATTGCCACCCTTCTCAGGGTGCCTTTCACACTATAACTGTGAAAATACCAAGGTAGGATCCAACCAGTCATTTACATGGGCCAATCACTGTGTTGGGGGCAAAAAAAAGATAATCATGTTCTTCCCACGTGTCTTAGTTAGGGTTGCTATTGCTGTGGTGAAACACCTTGACCAAAAGCAACTTGGGGAGGAAAGGGTTTATTTCACTCACAGTAAAACAGTTCGCGCCATAAAACAGTTCATCATCAAAAGCATTGAGGGCAGGAACTCAAACAGGGTAGGGTGGAGCCAGGAGCTGATGAGGGGTGCTTCTTACTGGCTTGCTCAACCTGCTTATAGAACCCAGGACCACTAGCCCAGGGATGGCACCACCCACAAAGGGTTGGGCTTTCTCTCACATCAATCACCAATCAAGAAAATGCCCTATAGGATTCCACTCACAGCCTGATCCCATGGAGACATTTTCTCAACTGAGGTTCCCTCTTCCCAAATGACTCCAGCCTGTGTCAAATTGACCCCAAACTAGCCTGCACACTAGGTGTTGAGGCCATGCTATTGATCTGATAACCAGGGATATAAATGCTCAGGAGACCATAATTTCATACATGTCTTCATGGGGGGAAAAAATCACTTTTTCTTATGTTTATCTGAGTTTATTGCTAGCTACCAGCAATCCCCACCCCCCTTTTTATTACTTGCTTTTCTATATATGATATTCTGGCAACTCTGGCAACTTTTTCATTTTTAATTACATCTTCCTCCTGTCTTTTGAGTCTTCCTCTTCCCTCTCAGTTCGTAGATAAACATGCTTTCTTGTATGCAGAGTAAAGCCAACAACCATGTGTGGCTCAGTTTTATTTCCAATCAGATAAGTCAATGTTGTGGAGTAAGAGAGACAGTTTAGTCTGAACCCACACATTCCTGTCATCCCCCCCTCAGCCTGGACTTCAGCCTGATTCACCTTTCCCATTGGTCTTCCACTCAATTGCATGACCTCATCAGACCTTCATGTCTACCTCAAGCGTTTCCTACAGTGACCTGGAACATGTGTTTCCTGCCATAGCCATGGTGGTAAACAACTCCTGGCGGACTCAGGAGCGACTCAGAGAGGAACCGGAAATGTCCTCTGTAATTTAAACTCCCAGAAGGAAAGCTCACAACCCACAGCTTGCTTGAGAGCAGACACACCCTGTGATCACTGGCTCCGAGCCTCAGACCCAGAGTCCCTCTACTGGACTCTAATAACCATTGCATTTTACTTTAGACAGAACTAAACTCCTCTTGAATAATTAAAAACATCTGAGAATACCAACGATAAGAAATGGGGGGGGGGGTTCTTGTCCCACAAAAAATAAAACCAGCCCTAGAATAAGAATTTTGGAAATGAAAATAATCTCTAAGACCACGTGTTACCTTAGTGTTTATTCAGATGAAGAGACTGGACCCAGAGAGGGGGGCTGTATTAGGGGCTGAGTAGAGAAGAGACCTTTGGACTCCAGATGTGGAGCTGATTCTCTCTCCTCTCCTGCAGGTCCGGTTATCTGATTCACGCCACACCCCTGTGCTCTCACTGATATTTCAGTCTTAGGGGCTCCAGGCAACAGCCTGGAAAGCATAACCTAGAAACGAAGTCAGACAAACAAATGCCATCTGGGTGCTCAGGAATGGAGCCATTTGCTGGCCCCTTTCCTTTTCGAGCTGGGTACCAGAGGGGTGGCTCCAGGGGGGGATAATATGTTCCTATTTTTTTCCCTTCTAATCCAGGACACCTGTCCCTTCTTTGGGGAATGCGCAACATTCGAGGCTTTGCAGCATGTGACCAGCCACCTGTTGTTCATGCCTTTCCAAATTGGCCTCTTAGGTCTGGAGCCAGCCAACTGGACTCCCACCCGTTATAAAACATGAGTATTAGCAACATGCGTGTACTAAGTTTGACAGGGCTGGAGTCTCTGGGGAATTATCAGGTCAAGACCATGCTCCCCAGCAGAATATACATCATGGCACCTCCTCCCCTTAAATGCAATAGCTCTGATAAAGTCCTAATTCTCTCTTAAGTCTTTGAAGAGAAAAGAAAGCTGAGGTTAACCATGGCTGGTCATCTTCTTTCACCCCCACTGCCCTTCATCCATTCAACAAATATTTACTGGCCACCTGCTGTGTGTCACTCACTAGTAGCCGTCTGGTCATCTTTTCACCCTACAAACCCATGGACTTCCATGAAAGGCAAACCCTATACAGATGCTGTGGGAGGCAGACCCATGGATAAAGCTCAGTCCTTTCAGCGGAAGGTGCTGTTGAGATACTCAGGGTGGCAAATTCATGCGCTAATATGACATAAGACTGTCTGTGCCAAGAGACCTCAGAGAACTATGGAGCCCAGAGGAGGGAAAAGTCACCTCCAGCCGGCAGGTAAGAAAGTTCACAAGGATGCCATGTGAACTGCAAGAAATGAGTAGGATGTAGACACCCTGGAAATGCATATGTGTAGTCAGATTGGCGTACCAGTGGCTCTCCAAGACAACGGGGCGCTGAGGAAGCCGTGAGACACAAAGAAGTCCTCCTGACTGGCGTGTGTGCAGAGTATACATGCTGTCACACTGAGATGAAGTAGGGATTCTGGTCACTTTGAGAGGTCTGAGTCTTTGTCATTTTCCTGGCCCCTTAGGTTCTGAGGTTTGGCACCCAATCTGCAAGCAGGCAGCCAGGGCAGAGAAGAAGCTCAAGGTAAGAGGCGTGGTCCTCCATGCTGCGTTCCGCCACAGGTTGGGAAAGCTCCGCCTCAGTGCAGAGCATACCAGCTCCCAAATGTGTGTCCATGTCTGCGGGCTCCCTAATGAGGAGAGTTGCTTCTTGGGGCTTGGGGTGCAGTAAGATCTTGTATATGAGAGAATCTTGAAAACAATAAAGGACTTGATGCATGGGAAATTTTTAAGTGTGTCTAGGGTGGGCGAGATTATAACCGTACCAATGCTGGCCAAGATGGCAGCCAATCTGAGGCACTTATTGCCATGCATTTTTTTCCCCTAGCCTAGGGTTATTTATTAATAATTATAGTTACTATCATCTCAGTAATTGACAGTTTGCAGAATGTCTTCTTAGCTCTGCTCTGGCTGGATTCCTCTAACCCCCTGTGGCAGATGGGGCAAGAAATTGTATCTCTCTGCTTTGCCTGTGAGGAAAATTGAGTCTATAGAGAGTGATTTGACAGCAATGATGCAACCAGGCATCCGATGCAGAGTGTTGTCCCCAGGCTCACAGCAGACCAGCTGAGACCCTGGTCCCTCAGAATTGCTTCGCTCTGACAAGCCAGAAAGGCCTGTGAATCTGGGTCCCTGATAGTAAAAGAGGCAGGGGGCGGGGGGCGGGGGGG